TGTCTGAGTCCTCACCTTTAATGCAAAATAAAACACAATTTTATTTTCATAGGACAGCCATTATTTTATTGGTAAACGAAAAAACCAAAATATAAGCTATTCATATAATTTGAGACACGCTTGGCGGGCATAAATCAAAAACTATGCTGGGTTTTAGTTATTAAATATGTACGAAAAATATATATACGAAAAATAAGTCTACAAGATAGACAACCCATGCCAAAAATATTAGCCAAAAGCATAATATTTGTCTCTCTCCATTTTTTTGTTATCACTCCTAAAAAATAAAAAATTTAGTGGTACTTACTTGATTCATACCGCTTAAGTTGCTCCTGTAATTTACGCATTTTCTTTTTTATATTTTCCAATTCCTTGCCTTTTCTTTTATTCTGCTTCGTCATTTTAATCAATATAATTTTCGCCGGTATCGCGTATTTATTTCAAATTTTAATTAATCGAACTTGACTGTGTCAGCGCAAGAAGTATAATGAATAAACAGGGGCATGGGACGGGACCGGGGACCAGTGAATCGGTTTTCTCTGAAACTTGCGTACGTCAGCACTAGAAGTAGTACTACAGGGTGGCCTATTCGGATGTGACCAATTGAAGTATAATGTGTACTTTTTTATCTCGCTTGACACTTTATAATGTATTGTTAGATCCACTGTTCTCAATATTAATTTTTGTTGAATCATTTCAATTTTAATTATTAATTCTTGTATAATTATTCCAATAAAAAAAGATGCCTATTCATTTATTAAACTCTGAATGTCTCTAGCCGCTACCGATCGTATGGGGATCAGTCAATCTTAATACGATCACCGAAACGCTCGGATTGTATTTGCCGCTGGTTACAATTAGAGTTTTAGTGTTTGTTTCTGTTTTATACCCAAATTTCTAACAGTATATTTATTTGGCTCATAGTTCTATAAGTGACGAATTTTTCTCTTGCACACCTGCGGGTGCAAATCTATATTTGATTTGGTGTATTTCTTTTTAAATGCTTGTAATATTCATTAGTTCTGTATGATAAAATGTGTAATTTTCAGTTTAAAGCCACATGTACACCTACACCATTTTAATATTAAGAATATATTTTTGTGAATAAGGTTAATTCGTACATACGTTTCTATTTCTGGTTATATTGAAATATTAACAAAACTATCAATAAAGGTTTGTCGATATCTTTTTGCCTGCCTTATTAATTTATCGGCACATTCTGCAGACAATTGTTGTCCTTTTTTTAACTCTGACTTTGAGATTTTCAGTAGAAACTGCTGTTGGTTTTAAATTTCTGCCAGATTTAGGTGAGCAGTTTTAGCCTCTGTTGTAAATGTATTTCAAAAATATCCTTTGAAAAATGTGTTGAACAAATGCAAGCTGCAAGCGTTGATCTAGCTTTGACTACGTCTGTTTTCGAAAATCCAAAATACTTAATGTTTGTTCTCTTTTTTTTTCGCGAATAGTTCTTGTAGCCAAACACTGCACAACCTGGCGTTTTGTTAGTAACTACACTCCCTAAAATAGTAGATTTTTATGTACCAATAATAATATAATTAGAAACTATTTTTGTTTTATTTATAAAATACAGCAAAAAATGTGACATATCCTAACTTTATATCAATTCTACTATCAATTGAATTAGAAATTAATTTAATAATACGTAGCAATAATTACTAAAAAGACTTCTTAATATATAGAAATAATGTTAAATTTTAAGATAAATATATCCAAAAAGTTCTAAGCACTATTACGAAGATATTTAAATAACTTAAAAATTAACTTTTTAACATTCAAGGCATAGGAATACTAAAAATTTGTTTCGAAAGTGACGTCATACGCAAGATTGACCGAACTTCGTACCGCTAACCGCTTCACCTATATTTTTCCACCACGGGGTATCCCATTAAAAAATATTACTTTATATTGGTACTTTGGTTTGAGACACCCTGTATATATGAAACTAATTTTAATTTATAGCTACTTTTGAGTTGTATATTTGTGCCAAAGAAATTTTTATTATCGTTTGTAGTTTACCCACCAGGATCCGTCCCGTTGAGCGTAGCGCACTTTGTATATATATTTTTCTTGTCTTATTTATTGTTCCTCATATATTTTAACTTTTATGCTTTGAACTTGCTTTATACCTAAAAAGATCAATAAAGTACTAATAACATAAATAAAAGTTCATTGTTTTATTTCCAACATGTTACGCCTCTGGTCAAATAACATTGGTGTCAGAATGGAACACGATTTCCTGGTACGTTACGAGTCCTCTCTTTATACCTAGTCTAAGGTATAAACTGAATAAAAAAGTTGGGTTAAGTAGTCAATATTCAGTGTTATTGAACTACTTACTACAAAACAGAAACCATTTTATTACTTAGATAGTTCCTATTTTTCTGATATTCCATCAAAACCATGGAGGTAAAAGGTAACTCCATAATCAAAGCACTGTTAAGAAAGACCGTTTGGAAATTATAAGCCGACTACCAACAAAATGACAAAAAAAAATATCTAAAAATTATTTTTCAAAAAGGTTAAAAACGCTTGAAATATACACTTTCATCCTGGACAACAAACTTCTCTGGAACACACATAAGAAGGAAATAGTAAATAAAGTCACAAAAGCCCTAATGGTATGCAGAAACATTGCGGGTAAACGATGGGGATGTAACCCAAACATACCGCGATGGATGTATACTGCAATAGTGAGACCAATCATCACTTACGAGACTATAGCTTGGAGTAACAGAACTAGTTTAGCTACTAAAAGAACTAATATCTCAAAAGTACAAAGACTAGCCTGTGTTTGCATCACCGGTTCAATGAGAACCTGCCCTACGGCCGCAATGGAGGTGATCTTAAACTTCACCACATTTGATGAAAGAGACTGTGGCAAAAAGGACACGTGATAGAATGATCAGAAACGGAGGAGTAATCAGACGAAAGTCTACTTGCTTCAGGAATAAAGATACCTGGGATATGCCCCAGGATGAAATGCTAAAGAAGTACAGTTTTGTGAAAAACTTCAAAACCACAAAGCTGGGCTGCAAGAAAGAATGAAGCCAAGAATCCATCGCGCTTGCAACCGATAGACATGCTATTCAGTGGTAGACGGACGATTCCAAAACCATAGAAGGAACTATAATAGGAGTGTATGGGCCGAGAACCAAGCACTCTGAAAGTTTGGGAAAATACCCAAGTATCTTCCAAGCGGAAATTCACGCCATCGACAAGTGTATCCAGTTTAACGTCGAGAGAAACTATATTTCTATAGACAAGAGATTATCATTATGTCCGATAGCCAAGCAGCCATCAAAGCGCTGAGCTCTTACGTAATCAGCTCAAAAATGGTCTGGAGATGTCTAGAACAATTGAATGAGCTAGGTGAGAAAAATAGAGTTACTCTCACTTGGGTCCCGGGACATAACGGGTAAAAGGTAACGAGATTGCAGATAGTCTTGCAAGGAAAGGGACTCAAACGCCCTTTGTGACCTGAGCTGTTCTGCGGTATCAGCAGTAACATAATATTAGAAAAGATTAAAAAAGAATTGGGCAGAGGAAGAACTGATAATTGGAACAATCTCTTGGGGCTTAGACAGGCTAAGTAACTTCTGGGTGAATATAACTTCTGGGTGAATATAACCAGAAAAGATCGGAAGCCTGCATCTGCCTGATAAAGAACAAGCTACGTATTGGAACAGGACTCCTTACCGGGCATTGCCAACTAAAAGGACACCTTAGTAAACCGAGAGTAATAGAAGATAGTACGTGCAGATTCTGTGAGGAGGAGGACGAAACCTCCATTCACATTCTAACTGAATCTGTAGCACTCCAGAATCCAAGGGCACTATACCTAGGAGGATATCAAATAGAAGAGGGAGATTAACCTAACATGAAGCCACTCCAAATCCTACACTACCTTGAGAAGATACGATTGGAAGGGTCGTTATAGACATTGAGACATTTCCTTGGTGCATTAGCGACAGAAGGGGTCACAATAGATCTTTCAGGTCGCAGTGTATTAACATCCCATTCTCAACATAACATAACATACACTTTCATCGATTAATTCCCACCATTTTGTTTCTCTTAGTCAAAACCATTTGCATTTTGTAGATATCATTTAAAATTATATAAGCGCTTAAAAATCACAAACATATGAGATGGACCAGTGACTGTGCACCAATACAAGGCCAACATTCACGGGCGCCGAGAAATCTCTGAAACAAAACGTCCTGAAGCAAAAACTTCTTCTTCTGTAGTGAAATTTCAAAAAAAGGTCCTCTCTCTTCTGCTCTTGTGTCGAACTCCTAAAAAAAAAAAATAAAAAAACGTCCTTACCTAAAGCTGCTGGGCCCCCTTATTAGTCCCGGCTACCCTCCCCTCTCGTCGACTATGCCAACATTATTAAACTATGAAAATATAATAGCCTTTCAACATTTAGCCAACATGGTCATGTCCCCATCAATAGCAGCAATGGGCCATCAGTTTCCCGGCAGTTGATTGTTTAAAGGGTATAGTTGTATATGTCTGTTCAATTAGTAAATGTTTCTTTTTTGATTATTTTGGGAGCATCTCTAATACATCATAATAAAAACACTATTATGATAAATTGGGATAACATTTACAAGATCGTGCACACTTCCGTTTTTTATTTTTACAGCATGAATGTGATGTTTCATCTTGGTAATATTTACTTGTACTATGTGTCTACTAAATAAAGGTTATCTTAGAAAACTATTGATCTTTATTAATTGTTTTTATGTAAATAAGATTAGAAAAAAATACACATCAAATTATTAATAAGGATAATAAACAATGGTGTTAACTATTCTAATGATAAGGATAATTAACAAGAAAGAAACTAGTTGCATTGTTTTGTTTTATAATACATAATTTTTGTGATAATAGATTTTGACATTTTTATTCCTATACAATAATTAATGTATATATTTTCTAGTCATTATTAAGAAGACAACTATTACAGAAGAAAGATGAATACTAAATTAATATTTTTATGTTTACTGATATGTATCTATATGGTAAAGTCTTCCAAGATATTAATGGTTTTTCCAGCGCCCGTTCGAAGTCATTTTTTTCTTGGAAAGGCCTTAGCAAAGGGGTTATTAAATGCTGGACATGAATTGGTAATGATTAGTCCATTTGAAGACAAGGGCCTTCAAAATACTGGTAGATACAGAACGGTGGTTCTATCTGGTATCGAAAATTTTACGGAAGGTAAGTTAAAAATGATTCACTCGTAAATGGGGTTAAATCAGGGCTTCTCAACCTTATTTCAATTGGGCTCCCCCCATAATTTATGAAAATCTCCACTTCCAGGTTATACATTGTGAGGATAAACTCTAAAGGTGGAAATGTGGGATCGCGGGCTGTGCTAGTCTCAAGTTCTTTTCCATATTTTATACGCTGTATCTAGAATCCTGGTATCGGTAACACATTTTTTACCAGTAGTTTTCATGACGTCAACTATATGATGCACTAGGTACCGGGCAGAATCAAAAAGGTAATATGACCAGAACTACGATATTATGAACTAAAATACTGTTGTATTTTCGATGGACAACGTTTCCGAAAACAAGAAAATAATTTCAAAAGTGATAAGGACATTTAAAAAGAAAATTCCATGTCCTGCTTTTGTAGCTTTACGCGTTTCCCAAAATGGAAAATTCCTTGAAGTTAAAAGCTTAAACAACAACCACAATCATAAGACAAGGAAGGCCCTTTCTGAATTTTTTCCGCAACAGAGAAAATGGCCTTATGAAAATAGAGAAGAGGCAAAAATGTTACTTATGTTAGATGCCAATAAAAAGAGAGTTAGAGAGAAGTTAGAAAAAGATACAAGTCTAAAGCTAACATTAAAAGATCTATCGAACAGTAAACAAAGCGCTACAAACAAAGCCCTTATTGGCATAGATCAATGTGTCGATATTTTGAAAAATAAATATGATTGTGAAGTTAGTATTTTAAAGGAATGTTTAAGCAAATTTCCCGGATAAAAAGTACATATGATGCTTATCCAGAGTTGTTGAGCATTGACGGTACTTGTATCATCATCAAATTATCAATGACATCAAAACTATTGCTTGTTCTTTGTGTTTATCACAAAGGGATATGAAATGTGCCATTAATAAAAATTGAGAGATACTTGTTTTATTAATGTTACATCCTAAACAGTATAGTTACGTATTGGCAAAGTTTATTCGATCTAAATAAACTGCCATATAAAGTGACATTTAAAAATTCTCAAAAAACCGGGATTTACTTAATTCCCTGTATCTAGTGCATCATATGGATGACGTAATCAAAACCGCTGGTAAAAAATGTATTACCGGTACCGGGATTCTAGACGCAGCGTATTTTAATATCGCATCCAGTTCCACTTGGAATTCTCGCTCGCATCGCGTTCTTCTCCTATCATTCCCATAGAATCACAGGATTGTAATGAAGTCAATTTTCATTACTATATTTCGGCCTATTCCGGATATAAATTTCAATTTTTATTTTTTTAATTTTATTTTAACTTCATGGGTAGACCCTGTATATAAAATTTTGTTTCATTTAAATTCGCGTATTTTACCTGAGTAACGAAAGCGCGCGCGCTTCGCGCACATCGAGTGGGGAGCTAGCGTGCTTGGGCATCGAGACTGGAATTCAGAATTCGGATTATTAAAAATTATTCAATTCACGTTACCGATTCGACTAGCTTCTCCAGTTTCTACTCCGATATACACCGCTGAAAATTATCGCCGATACCGTAGTTAGGTACATCGAATTTGTTTACATATTTTTTTGTCGACGGTTCTTGAGTTAAAAACGTTCGAATACCGGTTTCATTTGAAATAATTATTCCGTTTTCGATTTTATTTAAGAGAAATAATAATTGATTTCAGATTTTCGTTAAAAATATTTTGATTTACAGATAAATTATTTAGTTTTGATTTTATTTAGAAACATTGAAAATTAGTTTTTTTTTTTTTTTTGGTTACTAGGAAATAGAAACTTTGTTTCTATTTTAATAATTAATTAATTTTATTACGACCGTGAAGTGTGTTTCTATTTTACAGTAATAGTAAACCTAATTTCAAATTAAATTCCATATACAGTTGATTAGTTAATTTTCATTGCGACCGTGGATTTTGTTCCTAATTTTTTTAAGTAATAATAAATTTAAATTTAAATTAAATTCCGTACATAGTTAATTACTTAACTTTTACTACGACCGTAAATTTTGTTTCTATTTATTCACAATCTGGTTTAACTTTTTTTTTTATTTATGTTTCTTTACTTGGGAATAGAATTAGTTCGAAAGTTGGAAAGTTGAAATAGTATCATTTTTCATGTCGAGTGGACTGGTTGTGGCGAGAAAGCTCACATGGGATTAGATACTATCCCGGTTTTAGATTTTATTTAGATTAACCCCTATCCGTGATTAACATATTAGTGTTTTTCTTATGTTTGAGAGGGCTGGTTTTGGCGAGTACACTCATCATAGGATAAATACTGACCCGGTTTGATATTTTGTTTTGTGTTTGAGTGGGCTGGTTGTGGCGAGTACACTCATCATAGGATTAAATACTAACCCGGATTTTGATTATTTTCTTTTAGTTACCTCCGCGCCGTGATTAAAATGATAGTATCATTTTTATGTTGAGCGTGCTGGTTGTGGCGAGTGCACTCCTCATAGGATTGATACTATCCCGTTTTCTTGTCATTTATCTATTCCCCATTCACTAAAACAAGGAGGTTTGTTTCAGTTTCAATACCGACTGGAGAGTTAACCAGATAACTTTTACTACGACCGTGATTTTAATTTTTTTTTACGAAACAAAATATTTAACTGTAATCTTTATGCCGATTTAAGAGTTAACTAATTAACTTTTGCTACGACCGCTATTATTTGTTTTTTGTTTCGTTTTGGCTCAACCACCGATCCGACAAATTTATTAATTAGATACTATTGCCACCGAGCATCTTTCTTCTAATTTTAATTCTACCGTCTGATTGAGACTAATCATTACTGGCCGATCTGTTTGTTTTTATTTTGTTCAGGGTTTTAAAATTACGAGCGGGGGTGGGCGTTGAAATATTTATTTATTTTTTTTATTGTAAATAGTTAAAATTCAATATATGTGTCAACGTTACCTTGACTGTTACTGAGGTTACTGATCCCTAATTTACTTCCCCCTTTATTTCAGCAGTGAGAAATTCTTTATCACTACAAGTGACGATTAAAGCCCGTTACTTGTGGTTACTTATTACCTGTGTCTGAGTGACCAACGACCCCTGGAATTTTTCATCTACATCTTCGCTGCCCGAGTACTTTCGACGCCGTTTCGAAAGATTGTGGAGTAAACCACACATCAAATCTGGCGCCCGAGAGCCGTCCCGTCAACAGGCGTCATTTGTAAGTAATCGTTTTCTCTGAGGCGAGAAAACCCCTTACAGGATACATCGTGTACTCGAGACTAGCATAGACTGCGATGCGACGGAACTGCGATTACCTAATGCTTTTTCACCTTTAAGGTAGTTTTTTCATCTGCAGGTTTTTTATTATGTAAGTAGATTAGTCGCATGTTAACCAGATAGCAAATAAATCTTAATTTTGACAAAAAATGAACTTCTAAAATTTGTAAATTAGGGTAACGATATCTAAATGTTTGACAGTTTAATATCCTAAATATCCTAAATATCCTAAATATCCTAAATATCCTAAATATCCTAAATATCCTAAATATCCTAAATATCCTAAATATCCTAAATATCCTAAATATCCTAAATATCCTAAATATCCTAAATATCCTAAATATCCTAAATATCCTAAATATCCTAAATATCCTAAATATCCTAAATATCCTAAATATCCTAAATATCCTAAATATCCTAAATATCCTAAATATCCTAAATATCCTAAATATCCTAAATATCCTAAATATCCTAAATATCCTAAATATCCTAAATATTCTAAATATCCTAAATATCCTAAATATCCTAAATATCCTAAATATCCTAAATATCCTAAATATCCTAAATATCCTAAATATCCTAAATATCCTAAATATCCTAAATATCCTAAATATCCTAAATATCCTAAATATCCTAAATATCCTAAATATCCTAAATATCCTAAATATCCTAAATATCCTAAATATCCTAAATATCCTAAATATCCTAAATATCCTAAATATCCTAAATATCCTAAATATCCTAAATATCCTAAATATCCTGTATGGTTGGCTACTTTTTCGGGAAAGTGTAAGGGGTTTTCTCGCCTCAGAGAAAACGATTACTTACAAATGACGCCTGTTGACGGGACGGCTCTCGGGCGCCAGATTTGATGTGTGGTTCACTCCACAAACTTTCGAAACGGCGTCGAAAGTACTCGGGCAGCGAAGATGTAGATGAAAAATTCCAGGGGTCGTTGGTCACTCAGACACAGGTAATAAGTAACCACAAGTAACGGGCTTTAATCGTCACTTGTAGTGATAAAGAATTTCTCACTGCTGAAATAAAGGGGGAAGTAAATTAGGGATCAGTAACCTCAGTAACAGTCAAGGTAACGTTGACACATATATTGAATTTTAACTATTTACAATAAAAAAAATAAATAAATATTTCAACGCCCACCCCCGCTCGTAATTTTAAAACCCTGAACAAAATAAAAACAAACAGATCGGCCAGTAATGATTAGTCTCAATCAGACGGTAGAATTAAAATTAGAAGAAAGATGCTCGGTGGCAATAGTATCTAATTAATAAATTTGTCGGATCGGTGGTTGAGCCAAAACGAAACCAAAAACAAATAATAGCGGTCGTAGCAAAAGTTAATTAGTTAACTCTTAAATCGGCATAAAGATTACAGTTAAATATTTTGTTTCGTAAAAAAAAATTAAAATCACGGTCGTAGTAAAAGTTATCTGGTTAACTCTCCAGTCGGTATTGAAACTGAAACAAACCTCCTTGTTTTAGTGAATGGGGAATAGATAAATGACAAGAAAACGGGATAGTATCAATCCTATGAGGAGTGCACTCGCCACAACCAGCACGCTCAACATAAAAATGATACTATCATTTTAATCACGGCGCGGAGGTAACTAAAAGAAAATAATCAAAATCCGGGTTAGTATTTAATCCTATGATGAGTGTACTCGCCACAACCAGCCCACTCAAACACAAAACAAAATATCAAACCGGGTCAGTATTTATCCTATGATGAGTGTACTCGCCAAAACCAGCCCTCTCAAACATAAGAAAAACACTAATATGTTAATCACGGATAGGGGTTAATCTAAATAAAATCTAAAACCGGGATAGTATCTAATCCCATGTGAGCTTTCTCGCCACAACCAGTCCACTCGACATGAAAAATGATACTATTTCAACTTTCCAACTTTCGAACTAATTCTATTCCCAAGTAAAGAAACATAAATAAAAAAAAAAGTTAAACCAGATTGTGAATAAATAGAAACAAAATTTACGGTCGTAGTAAAAGTTAAGTAATTAACTATGTACGGAATTTAATTTAAATTTAAATTTATTATTACTTAAAAAAATTAGGAACAAAATCCACGGTCGCAATGAAAATTAACTAATCAACTGTATACGGAATTTAATTTGAAATTAGGTTTACTATTACTGTAAAATAGAAACACAATTCACGGTCGTAATAAAATTAATTAATTAATAAAATAGAAACAAAGTTTCTATTTCCTAATAACCAAAACTAATTTCCAATGTTTCTAAATAAAATCAAAACTAAATAATTTATCTGTAAATCAAAATATTTTTAACGAAAATCTGAAATCAATTATTATTTCTATTAAATAAAATCGAAAACGGAATAATTATTTCAAATGAAACCGGTATTCGAACGTTTTAACTCAAGAACCGTCGACAAAAAAAATGTAAACAAATTCGGTGTACCTAACTACGGTATCGGCGATAATTTTCAGCGGTGTATATCGGAGCAAAAGCAGCAGATGCTAGTCGAATCAGTAAAGTCAATTGAATGATTTTTAATACCGAATTCTGAATTCCAGTCTCTATGCCCAAGCAGGCTAGCTCCCCACTCGATGTGCGCGAAGCGCGCGCGCTTTCGTTACTCAGGTATAATACGCGAATTTAAATGAAACAAAATTTGATATACAGGGTCTACCCATGAAGTTAAAATAAAATAAAAAATAAAAATTGAAATTTATATCCGGAATAGGCCGAAATATAGTAATGAAAATTGACTTCATTACAAAAGAAAAGTGATTTTATCAAAAATAATTTTAAATGAGGCCAGATCAAGTAGCGCAAGCTGTTGCCTTACATAATGATGGTCGTTCCATTCGTTATATCGAAGAAATGCTTGGCTTTCCGCGAAGTACAATATCTGATGCTTTACGAAGATTTAGAGAAACTGGTTCTTACTCTAGAAGACCTAGACAGGGAATACCAAGTGTAACAAACGCCGTTGAAGATCGATTTCTGAGACTTCAAGTGCTTCGAGAGCGGACAGTTACTGCTACAGCTTTGACCAGGAGACTGGCAGATGTTCATGGAACCGTAATTTCACCTGAATCTGTGTGTGTGTGTGTGTGTGTGTGTGTGTGTGTGTGTGTGTGTGTGTGTGTGTGTGTGTGTGTGTGTGTGTGTGTGTGTGTGTGTGTGTGTGTGTGTGTGTGTGTGTGTGTGTGTGTGTGTGTGTGTGTGTGTGTGTGTGTGTGTGTGTGTGTGTGTGTGTGTGTGTGTGTGTGTGTGTGTGTGTGTGTGTGTGTGTGTGTGTGTGTGTGTGTGTGTGTGTGTGTGTGTGTGTGTGTGTGTGTGTGTGTGTGTGTGTGTGTGTGTGTGTGTGTGTGTGTGTGTGTGTGTGTGTGTGTGTGTGTGTGTGTGTGTGTGTGTGTGTGTGTGTGTGTGTGTGTGTGTGTGTGTGTGTGTGTGTGTGTGTGTGTGTGTGTGTGTGTGTGTGTGTGTGTGTGTGTGTGTGTGTGTGTGTGTGTGTGTGTGTGTGTGTGTGTGTGTGTGTGTGTGTGTGTGTGTGTGTGTGTGTGTGTGTGTGTGTGTGTGTGTGTGTGTGTGTGTGTGTGTGTGTGTGTGTGTGTGTGTGTGTGTGTGTGTGTGTGTGTGTGTGTGTGTGTGTGTGTGTGTGTGTGTGTGTGTGTGTGTGTGTGTGTGTGTGTGTGTGTGTGTGTGTGTGTGTGTGTGTGTGTGTGTGTGTGTGTGTGTGTGTGTGTGTGTGTGTGTGTGTGTGTGTGTGTGTGTGTGTGTGTGTGTGTGTGTGTGTGTGTGTGTGTGTGTGTGTGTGTGTGTGTGTGTGTGTGTGTGTGTGTGTGTGTGTGTGTGTGTGTGTGTGTGTGTGTGTGTGTGTGTGTGTGTGTGTGTGTGTGTGTGTGTGTGTGTGTGTGTGTGTGTGTGTGTGTGTGTGTGTGTGTGTGTGTGTGTGTGTGTGTGTGTGTGTGTGTGTGTGTGTGTGTGTGTGTGTGTGTGTGTGTGTGTGTGTGTGTGTGTGTGTGTGTGTGTGTGTGTGTGTGTGTGTGTGTGTGTGTGTGTGTGTGTGTGTGTGTGTGTGTGTGTGTGTGTGTGTGTGTGTGTGTGTGTGTGTGTGTGTGTGTGTGTGTGTGTGTGTGTGTGTGTGTGTGTGTGTGTGTGTGTGTGTGTGTGTGTGTGTGTGTGTGTGTGTGTGTGTGTGTGTGTGTGTGTGTGTGTGTGTGTGTGTGTGTGTGTGTGTGTGTGTGTGTGTGTGTGTGTGTGTGTGTGTGTGTGTGTGTGTGTGTGTGTGTGTGTGTGTGTGTGTGTGTGTGTGTGTGTGTGTGTGTGTGTGTGTGTGTGTGTGTGTGTGTGTGTGTGTGTGTGTGTGTGTCCACCATAACTCATGAACCGATACAAAGAAAAGCACCAAATTATAAACTTAAGCTTTATTCCATCCTGCGGTGAACTGATTAGATTTTGAACAGAGTCGGAAAATTTAGGAGGGTACTTTATTGGTGGTCATTTTTATATTTTATAAAATATATCCGTTATTTACGTTTGGAGAAGAAAATTGTTCAAATAAAAATTACTTACAATATTATTACCTAAAATTTTGGTTTCATACAATTTTTTTTTTTAAATGGTCCGTATTAGAGAAATATGACAAAATGTAATAAAATTCAAATTTTTTAGGAAAATTGTTTAAATAAAAGTTATTTGTGATATCGATCTCTAAAATTTTTGTTTTTATATGATTTTTCTAAAATGGACCACATTGGAAAAATTTAAGGAAAAGTGCTAAATTTAAATTTTTCAGTATTTTCGTTTTCAATATCTATAGAAAAATGTTTCGAGTTAGATGTATGTGGAAAATGTATATATTTAGTTTATCCTCAAAACATTTATAGAGGTGCTGCAATAGGTTGTACAACATAACCGGAAAAAGCCTATAATAACTAGATAGGAAAGTCATGTGTTGGACATCAGATTTTTATATAATATATAGATACACTTAGTGTCCGGTTAATTTGATATGATAAAGCATCTATAGTTAATATATTGACCATATTCTTATGAAAATATTTCAGGTCACGAATTGCCATCATGGAGAGAAATGGGCGATATCAATCTAGTGCAGATGGAGTTTCATATAAATACCTTTGGCAATTTACTAACGAATTTCACTGTAAACCATCAAAACTTCCAAAAATTGATTCGTTCTCAAGAAAAATTCGACGTCATAATTTTTGAACAATTTCTTACCGACGGTTTAAGGATTCTTGGTTGTCATTTCGAGGCACCGGTAATCCTTTTTTCAACGTTCGTTACTAACTTCTGGACGAACGCTTTTACCAGTAATCCTAGTCCACCGTCTTATATACCAGACACCTTTACCAGCTACACTTCCGACATGAATTTGTATCAAAGAACCATGAATTCTTTATTAATACTAACAAGGCATTTAATCAGACATTGGTCCTTTTTTCCTACACAAGAGGTTATTATAAAACAACATTTTCCGGAATGTCATCCGCATTTCTACCAAAGTCTTTACAATGTGTCTCTAACATTAGTGAATTCACACGAAAGCATCAACTACGCATTACCGATGGTTCCGAACATGGTCCAAATCGGTGGGTATCATTTAGAACCTCCAAAAGCACTGCCAGGTGATATCCAAAAGTTTATGGATGAAGCTAAAGATGGTGTTATTTACTTCAGTATGGGTACAAATATAGAATCATCGTCTTTTGATGAGGATACTAAAGCATTTCTTTTGCGCACGTTTGGGAAGCTGAAGGAGAGGGTATTATGGAAGTGGGATGAGCAGATAATAGAAGGCAAGTCTGAGAATGTTTGGATACAGAAATTTTTTCCACAGAGAGATGTTTTGGGTTAGTAAATTAATATTATGTCCATTTTTACCAACTTGTTTATTTTTATTTTTTTTAGCGCATCCCAATCTGAAATTATTTATAACTCACGGTGGATTATTGAGCACTATGGAGACAGTATACTCTGGTGTACCAGTGCTTCTATTTCCAGTATTTGGAGACCAAAAATTCAATGCGGCCAAAATTCAAAATGATGGTTACGGATTGTATATATGGCTTAGTAAATTGACCGAAGAAAATCTAACCGAAGCTTTAGACAAATTGCTGAATGATCCAAAGTAAGTATCTAAAGCATTGATACCCAGATATAAAAACCGAGCTTTAATTGTTCAACTAACCAAAACTGTGTTCAATCCACATACTTTGATTGTGGTTCAACCAAAGTATATTAACCGTTGAGTAGCGACATAAAGCGTCGGTGTCTTTGATCTTGGGTGGTGCAAATTTTCTTTCTCTCTCGTTTGACGTTATTGAAGGAAGGACACACTAAAACACTGCTCGAATTATGAACTGGTCTTGAATGTGATGTTTACACTGCTCGACGTAATTTGAAGTAAAACTCTTTTGTAGTTTACATTTATAATAAAGGTTTGGTTATTAGGCAGTTTTATATTTATGAGTATTTAACTTATGTAGTAAATATAAAAATATATATCACTATTGATAAATTTCAATTTTTTTACCTACGTCCGGATGAGCTACAGACTTGAAAGTTGGTAGGTGCACAGGGTTTTGATTTTTGATAACAATAGAAATTATTACTTATGGACCTTCTTATATATTAATCGAGTTGTCTCAAACTTTAAATTACGCGTTGTTTAAACATGTCGCTGAATACAATTTTTGACTAATAATGTGCCCCGTTACTCAAAACTTTTAATTCACGTTTAAAGTGTTTGACAGAGGTATCTGATTTGACAAGTTATTCATACAACAATATGGAAGTCAGTGTCAAATCTGATGACATTCCGTCTATCATTCTAATTTTTGATAAATCTTACTGTAAACTACGAAAGCGTAGAAGAATCACAGTAAAAAAAATATATAATTGACACTTGACAGTGATATCTGTCATTTAGTGCTAATTTTCACTTACATCTGTCAATTAGGTCTAATTCCCAGTTCTAGCTGTCAATTACTACTAATTGGCCTTAGTTATATCTGTCAATTAGGCCTGATTCCCAGTTCTGGCTGTCGATTAATGCTAATTAATTGACACTTAGACCTAATTGATAGATGTAAATGTTAATTAGCATTAATTGATAGATGTAAGTGCCAATTAGCATTAACTTAACAGACAGAACTAGGAATTAGCCTAATTGACAGATGTAAATGTCAATTAGCAGTAGCACTAATGGAAGATATAACTGTATTTTTTTTCACCGTAGCCCTCTACGCTTTCGTAGTTAACAGCAAAATAGGGGACAATCTTACTATTCTTATACTTATGAATAGATTTACTTAAGCTTGGGGGTTGTTGAGTTGAGGTCGCTAATTGTGATTTCTGACAAAAAATCAAGGAAATCAAAATGGCGGGTTTTTCCGTTTAAGAACCGATTTGTCTCAAACTAGAAACTTGGTGGTCTTAATACAATTTTTGATCTAAACATAAAAATATCAAAATGGCGGATTTTCCTAATGAACCGATTGTCCTAAACTTGGGGATCTTTAAGGCCGCCAAATATGAGTTTTAACCTAAATTTAACAAAGATAAAGTTGGCAGACTTTTGTATTGATGAGCCGATTTGTTTCAAACTTGGATTTGGTATGTTTGAGGTCACTGACTGTGATTTGAGGAATTGAATTGCGAAAAGTTATCAGGAAAAAAGTCTTGTAATAATTACGCATAAATGATAATAGTGTAATAATGTTGCTATTCAAGTTATCAAGAAATTTAATAGACATTAATTAAGGTAAATGATTTTATTAGTCCCCAGATCAACAAAATTGCACTAAAAAGTAAATTGAATGGACATATCTTTATTTAATTAAACAAAGAAAATTAGTTCTTTTGTCAATGGCACATATATCTTTGAGATAGTGCAGAGATGATGGTTTGGTTTAAATCAGGCAATATTACTGGGTACCTACTTGAGTGCGTTAATTCGTTTACGAATATTTTTTTAGCAGTTATTTGTCAGGTTTACATATTGTTCACTTTTTAGTGCATATTTTTCCATGTTAGTGTTCTGACGACCTTAATAAAATCGTTTATTTTAGAAGATTTTAATTAGTTAATTTATTTGGTTCTAATTACATATCCCCGAAAAATTAATGAATTTTAGCATAATGAAAAACCCACAAAAACAATAAAAGAGTACAACAACGAATTCCTGTATCAGCTGCCGGACTAAAGTGAAAGGGGTGTTTACATCTTTAGAAGACGTCTCGCCTCTCTATTTCGCGTCGGCGCACTAGAATTCGGTTCCCCAGCTGTCGCTACTCAACGGTTAATATACTTTGGTTCAACCTATTAAATGAGGTTTTAGATAAATTTGAATCCAGTGGCGTGCGGTGACATTTTTGGAAGGGGAAGCGATTGTATAAAAATACAGCAGGCCAGTAAGCACAGCGCAGCAGGTGAAAATTTTTCGGGGCGCATTGGCCATTTTGTCAAAATCTTGCTTTCTTCCTCAGTACTACGGATATTCGAGATTGAGATCATTGAAGTGTTACTATTACTTTATTACCTAGTTTAGTACAAGAAGCTATAAAAAACTTACCATTGAAAAGCTTCCTTGGTTTATTTAAAGGTAAAAAAAATATTTAAGTAAAGTTTTTTTTTTCTGCATTTTTCGCACACTTGACACAGCAGTTGACATTTATTTAAGATCTATTCGCCTATCCTCAATGGCTGCAAATTTGTCTATAACATCGTCGTAAAATTTTGGATTTTCTGATAACTGTTTAACAAGCTGTTTTTCAATGGATATTAGGGCTAAATTAGAGAGTCTATTTTCACTTGTTGAATTTCGTATAAAACTTTTAATGCGCTTTAAAGCAGAAAAACTTTGCTCAACTAACGCACTTGTGGCTGGGATGGTTAGTACTAATTCACATAACTTAGGGACTTATTTAAACCAGTTGTGATAAGAAAATTTAACACACTGATGGGCGTCTTTTTATCACTAATTTCAATTGTTTCATAAACAATACTTAACTGGGACTTTAATGCTGGATTATCGAAAAATTTCCATAATTTAATTTTAATGAATTAAAAGCTTCCGATGGAAATTTTGATGAATCGTAGTTACTGCACAATTCAACTAATTTTAATTCTTTAAAGTTTTGAAATCGAGAGTTTATTTGTTGTAAAATATTATCAAAAATTTCGGCATATAATCGATGATAGGAGGTTTCTCTGTCGCCGAGATTATCAATTCTAATTCTCTTTCTTTCAAGTTCTAAGCCAATGTTTTGAGTCTTATTCCAAAAGTGTTCAAACTAATCTCGTTTTTATTCATTTTATTTTTAAAATCATCAATTGGTTTTATGCAAAAGCCAATGTCATTTGACTTTGTAAAATGTCGAATAAAATGTCAGTAAAAGGGAAAATCTCTGCAAAAATGTTGAGCAAAAATTTAAATCAAAGTTTTGTTTGAGCCAATGCAAATACCCTTTAGCGGCAGTAACAGTTTCAGCATCCCATGTTTCTTTATTACCCCAAACATCTTGAAAAAAGTGTATCAAAGAATCATGGTATTGAAACACTGTTTGCACTAAACGTCCATTGTAGTTCTATCGCGTCGGAAAAACTTTTGGAAATCTTTTTTGAACCTGAATGTCCAAAGCGTGAGTTCTTTTCGATGACTTTAAAAAGAAGGAAGCCAAACCACTAAGTGGTAAGGTTCTACTTGAAAATCCTTTTTTCAATAAAGAACACACAATACAGACACAATTTACCACATTATTATTGTTGACAGGCACAGTGCATAGTTCCTTCATTTTACAAAAAGGAAAACAGCTACGAAAAACAAACCGAAATCTACTTGAAATCTACGATTTTCCTCACACGTCGATTCGCGGTGCGAATTACAATATGCTTAAGGCGACGTAACAATCGCTGCTTTTTGACCGTATTTCAGGTTTCCAAACAAAATGACTACTGTCGCGGTAAGGCAGGGTTAATAACACGAAGCGAAACCACTTGGAAGATGAACCGGCTATTTCAAGATTCGCTTTCACCGACGGACTCGAAGTATATGGTGTGTGCGTGTACACAATTAATTTTCACATGGGTCGTGCGTGCGTTTACACATTACACTAATGAATTGTTAGTACATTTACGAAGTTTACGTAATGTTTCAGAGAAAATATAGTACCTAATTTAATATTAATTTCTATGCATTAAAAACTAAAAAATATTTATTTTTAAATCTGAAAGTGTATTGAAGCGGTGCTTCCCCCTCTTCCATGGACCGCACGCCCCTGGTTGAATCTAAAAATAATCGGTAGTAATTTAATGTCAGGATTAGATAAAGAATTATGACACTTAAAAATGTTAAAAGTGAATTTCATAAAGGTGAAATTCCTTTTTCTACGGTGTTGTCCATGCAATTTTAGGTTCTAAACGTTTTCCCTACACCTTTTTCACAATCTACCCAATGCAACACTATGAAAGATTTAAATATTGGATACGCAGTATCATATAGTTTTGAGATTGATGAGAGGAATGTAGTTTCAGAGAAAATTCCACACCTGTAATTTTGAACCAATCAAAATACGTGTTTTTGACAGATCACCATGGCAACGGAGGTATTTTAGTGGAAATTTTTTTCTCGAGGGGTACCCAACTGCGAATTATACTGGACATTTTTTGACGTTTACAATAACAGACCATTTTTGACAGACTGGTTTTTATTTGTTCACATAATAGGTTTAGTTTTGATACATTTTAGTTACAATGCTAAGGTGTTTTCTATATTCTTCGGCCACTTCTTTTCTTCTTAATGGTGAAAATGCAGGACTTTGGATGCTTTGAATTATGTGTCTATGTCTAATAAAATATATATAATATGTAAGGGGTTTTCTCGCCACAGAGAAAACGGTTCCTTACGAATGACGCTGGTTACGGGCGGTTCTCGAGCGCCAGATTTTTGGTAATGGTTTACTCCACAAACTCTCGAAACGGCGTCGAAAGTACTCGGGTAGCTACAGATGGAGATGAAAAATTCCAGGGGTCAAAGGTTACTTAGACACAGGTTATAGTAGGCCACAAGTAACGGGCTTTAATCGTTGCTTGGGCTGGTACAGAATTAATCACTAGCTGAAATATAAG